TCATCCCGCTGCCTTATGCTTGTACCTTGTGGAGATTTTCACCCAGCCCAGGAGGAAAGCGCCCCCCCTTATTCCCCAGGAAATATTTCCACCATCAAAAATGTTTTGCCTAGTAGGAAAAAAAGTATTATTAGGGAACCCTTGGAAACTCATCTAGAAAGTCACTGCTATTTTTTCCTTTAGAAAAACGTTTACAGCCAGTTCAGATCTAAAACCTCAGCTGTGTGTGCCGAGGCCAGGGATTGCAGCTACTTAAGATCTAAGCCAGGCTCCTGGTTCAGGAAAAATGTGGGGCCCATGCCCAGGCTCCTGACACTGCTGGGAGCAGTTTAGCCATTCCACACTCCTGCCTGCAGAGACACAAATACTTGCTCTATAATTCCTATGTGAGTTCAGGGGGGAAAAAATTGAAGTCTTTTACTACAAAGAGACTTTTGTACTCCACCTGGCTGTTCTGTTGCTCATGCTCACAGTCACACCGTCTTTACTACACTTGGAGTAAAGATTGCGATAGAAAGATGTGCTGGGTGTGGTAGGAGTGTCAGGGGAAGAAGAAACTCAGCAATTTCCCACCCCCACACACCAGCACACCTTGGCCAGAGCCACAGGGCTGCAGTGCTTTTGGTGTTGGCAGCAGAACACTGCCTGCTCTCATCCTTCCACACTGGCAGGACTGGGTTTGCTTTACGAGCTCTCAGGGAACCTGCAAATAAGTAGAATAAAACCATTGAACAGTAGAGGAAATGAATTGTCCAAGATGAATCTGATGTTGTCTTATGACACAGCTCAGCAGACAGAGTAGGAACAGAGGCGCATTTACAGTGTTGGCATCTCTCCACATCAAACCCAAAGTTACAACTGCAGATGAGCTGGCAGGTGTGAGGATTAGTTGGCTGGAAAGCACCAAAATCTTTGGATCAACAAGGTTAAGTGTGGATAAGGCCTAGTTTAACTCTATAACATTGGAATTTGGTGGAGAGACTCTGGCTTATATATTTGGAAATTCAAATTATTTTTAGAGGTCCTTGTAGACTCATGCAATGTCAAAGAGAAGCTTGAACTGCGGGCCATAAATCTGTCAGACAACACCCTGCCATTCCATTTCCACGTGTGAGTAAAGAGGTGTCCTGAGCTTTGGGTGTTGTTAGGGTGACAGCATGGGTGGCTGTGCAGGGGGACACCTGGATGAGCCTAGGGGAGGAGGGGCACTGTTGATAGTCATGTCAGTAATTTGCTGTTTTATCTCCAAGGGTCTCTGATCACCCTTTCGTGCCTTTCCCACCGGGCTGTGTGCCAAGTGATCAGCAGTGCTGTCCCAGCTGACTCCATCCAGGACAATGGCACTTCAGACAGCTCCTGGATAACTCGGCTGGAAAACAATTATGGATTCTACATTGGCCTGGGCTTGGCTGTCTTCTCCAGCTTCCTCATCGGGAGCAGCGTCATCCTCAAGAAAAAGGGGCTGCTAAGGCTGGTGGAGAAGGGAGGCACCAGGGCAGGTAAGGCTTCCATGGGGGCAGGAGGGACCACCTGTTCCTAGGAATACACACACACTCCAAATTTCAGCACTCCTGAGGCAAGGGGACACCTCTGGGTACAGTCAGTCTTCCATCAGCAATGTAAATAGGAGCTTTTGTGGAGGCATCCTTGTGTGTGAGAGCCAGACAGCAGTGCTATGTGGGAGCTGAGGAGCTAATCTACAGCCTTGGTATTGGAAAGGAGTTAATTTACAGTCTGTGTATTGGAAAGGAGCTAATTTACAGAGCCCTGCACTGGAGGAGCTTGACTAAAAGCAGTGTTCTTCTGCCTGGCACCACAAACAGCAAGGGACAGTCCTGTGAGATCAGAGGTGTCCCCATGGCAGAGCAGTGGGTGCCCATCGCTCAGGCCAGGAGCAAGCAGAGTGCCAAAAGCTCTCTGATAAGGGTCCCTTTGCACAAAGCTGCAGCTCACAGCCATGCCCCAGCCCAGAGCAGAGCAGCACAGCCCCAACCCCACTCTTGCTCTCAGTGAAGCACCAAAGGCAGCTTTGGCTCCAGGTCACCGAGACTCGGACGCAGCTCCGCGTGCTTGGGTTGCTTGGATTGCAAGAGTGTGTGAGTGCAGGACAGACAGGCTCTGTGGGAACTCTGTGGTTGCAGGAGGGATCCTTTGGAGCTCTGTTGCACAACAAGCTGCAGATAACTTTCCTCTAGCACCAGGCTCTCAGGGCGAGGCGAGTGTTTATGTGTACACAAACACATACACACACATATATATGGTGGAGCAGCACTGCCTAGAGCAGAACTGCACTGTGGAATTGGACACATCCCATCAGCATTGCAAACATGCTCCAGCAGCAGGGTAAGTCCTACCTGGCAGCTGACCTACTTGCATAACTGCAAAACAGAGCAATGATAATTAAATTACTGCTGCTTCCCTGTTCTGGCCTAGGAACAGTTCTTAAATAATCTTTCAGATTAAATAAATATCACCATCCCCATTGTACTTTGTGCCCATATGGGGACACAGAGGCATGGAATGATGAAGTGACTGTCCAGAGACAGCCAGCAAAGCAGCCAACAGCAGCTGAACCACCAGGCAGTCTCAGGTCCATGTCCATCCTCTGTCACTGGGCTGAACACACAGCTTCTGAACACAGATGGGTTTGCTTTTTGACATTATACTTGCACAATGAAATATCAGTATTGCTTCAACTGTGGATGTCTCTCTCCTTCTTCCCTCCATGAACTCTTCCCACAGCAGAGCCAAGCAAGTAAAACAAGAGCAAGCCCCTCCCTGTTTTTCAGAATGTTTAACGTTCTGAAAGGAATTAGAGATTAATGACAGAAAATTGCAGCTGACAGAAAGAGTTCTTGGGAAAAACTCCAACCAAGCAAAAAGACCCTAAAACAAATAAACCAGCAATTTCTGAGGAATACGAGAGCATAACATTTAAACTTCATCATTTATGGAGTGGTTGAGGAACCAGAAGAGGCTGAACTCTAGCAAAAGATTTTTCCCTGTGTCCTAAAATCTTCCTGTTCAACTCTCCATTGCCCCTTGCCCTGTAATCTCTCAGTCCCAGTGTGTCACCCCTGCTACGTGAGCACATCACTTTTCTCCAAGGCAGGTCAAACACTGCTGGTACTGACAAGCTCCAGTTGGGTCAGATTTAGCAAAACCGTGAGCTTTCCTGACCCAGCAAAACCAGGGTCACCATGTCAGCAGGCTCAAACTCCTTATGTCCAACAGCCTGTGGGTTACGACCAGAATTGGATTAGCTCCAATTAGCTCCAGTTCATTCTTCCCCTTGCAATTTATCCCTCTCCAAAGGGACATTCTCATCTCTTGCTCTGAAGAATGTGGTTGTTAACTCCTGCATGTGCTTTTGTTCCCCAGGAGATGGAGGCCATGGCTACCTAAAGGACTGGCTCTGGTGGGCTGGCTTGTTAACCAGTAAGTTTGAGCTGTTTCCCTGGGTTTGCAGCTTTTCCAGGCTCTGTCCCTGTGAATGAGGTGGGGAACAAACAGAGTATGGTGTTTAAAGCCTGTTTTCTGCCGAGTTCCCCCATCCTCAGCAGAGGTTCCTCAGGCAGAGGAGAGGCAGTGATCCCTGCAGGATCTCCCTTTCCATCCTCCTGCAGGACTGGCAGGACCTGCTGGCTCAGTTTTACCTGATCAAAAGCATGGAAAGCCAGGTTTTAATAGGGCAGCTGACAGGTCTGCCTGTGTACCAGGCACAGGGCAAACAGCCTCCCCTGAGTGCCTGGGGGAGCAGGGTGCTGGAGTTTCCTGCTGCAGCACAGGGAGATAACAAAGAGGTGTTGCTAGCACCTCCTTCCTTAAAAAAAAAAAAAAAAATTGTTTTCCCTTAAAATCTTTATTTCCTGCTTGTATCTCCTAAAATTGGACTCAAAGCTTTACAGTACCTCCTAAAATTGGACTCGAAGCTGCAGGGAGAGCAGCAGATTTTACAAGAGGCTGTTTCAGAGCCCTCTTTTCTGCCTCTCACCTTGGCAGCTGCAGCTCAAGGTGCCCCCACCTGGCTCTGCCCTCTCTGCTCAGGGACAGGGACAGCCAGAGGGGACACCACAGCCCCAAGGACAGGTGTGGAGCTGTCCTTAACACCCCTCCCTTGTACCCCCACACAGCCTGGCTGGGCTGGGGGATTCCTGAGCCCTGACCTGGCCAAGCCCTGGCAACCCCAGCCCTTCCAATGGAGGGGTTCCCTTCCCCAGGGGTGCCTCTTTTAATTTGAAATAGATTTTCACCCACTGCCTGCCCCCATTTAGCAGCAGCATGAAGCCCCCAGCATCAAACCCACTCTCCAAGTGACAACTTGCTGGTTTGCAAACCCCCAAGGGAAAATGCAGAAAGTGCTCTGTAACTCACTGGTATTTATTTTTCTTGTTTGTTTAGTGGGTGGAGGGGAAGCTGCCAACTTTGCTGCCTATGCCTTTGCTCCTGCAACTATTGTCACGCCTCTGGGGGCTCTGAGCGTGCTCATAAGGTGATTTTTGTGTCTATAAATTGAAATTTACCTCTTCTTTTTTTTCCTTGTTTGCCTGTTTGACTTGTAAAAATAGACATGAAGGGATGCTAATATGATTTTTTTTGCCCAAAGTAAAAGAAGTCTTAGTGTTTTCTAAAAAACATTTTAACAGTTGTTGTCCTTTTGGAGGGATCACTTGGGAACCACTGAATTAAGCATCTTGCCCTTCTGGAAATGCTGGATGTGTAGAGCAACCACATACACTGCAGGTTAAATTATTGCAAATATCTGCATTACTTCATTCCTTATTCCAGCTCTTTAACCACTCAGGATTGGTGGGGTTTTAATGTTTGTTTGTTTTGTTTTGTTTTGTTTTTGCAATCAAGAGTACTAAACATTTAAAGGGGTCAAAAATACCAGCCTTGTTTTCAAACTGCCTTTCACCTACCTTTCATTTTATAATCTTTTAGGGTCCTCTTATGTTATAGGGTTTTATATTTCTGGCTGTTCCCAAAAGGGCTGAAACCCTATTCAATTTCCTTATTTTTAAATAGGAAGTTCCACCAAAATATATTAAGCTATTTAAGGTTTTATAGAAAGACTGTATTGTGAAATGCATAAGCAAACTGAGAATTAGGACTGCTCTGGTGTCTTGCCCCAGATTTCTTTTGGACAACAACTAGATATTTTTGCAAATATATCTGTAGCTCCAGTACTTTTAGAGTTTCTCTTTCTAATGGTTCTCATGATTTAGTTAAAGTTAACATAGCTTGTTTATTGTTAGGTTCAGGTTTTTTCTCTGTTACACTGGCCCTTGAAGTAATTTTCTTGAGCACTAAAAGCTTCATAATGCTCAGCAGCTCCTGAATAATTCTGCCAACCCTGAACAAATATTTCTGAGGACGTGCTAAAACATTCAGCATTTTTGCACCTTGCTGGCACAAGAGCTGTGATCCACAGGTCACACCTGCACCTCTGCAGGTTCAGCTGTGATTGTGCATTAACCCACTGGAATCCAACTAATTTACACCAAAATTGTGTCCTTGTATCATATGGAAGCATTCTTAAGTTTCCTGGAGCTGCTGCTCCTTCTTTGAAGGAGTGCAGAGCACCGGCTGATGTTTTTCTGTCCAGCTGATGTTTTTCTGTCCGGCTGATGTTTTTCTGTCCCATGCAGTGCCATCCTGTCCTCATATTTGCTTGGAGAACGGCTCAACCTGCTGGGAAAGCTGGGCTGCCTGCTGAGCCTGGTGGGCAGCACTGTGATGGTCATACACGCCCCAGAGGACGAGGAGGTCACCACTCTGGAGGAAATGACTTCCAAGTTGAAGGAGCCGGGTACGCAGCCAGCCGCGCTTTCCCTCTCGGGGCTGGGCAGTGCAAACCTCTCCCCATGCCCTCTGCTGGAGTTTTGTGTTCTTCTCTCCCTCCTGCAGGTTTTCTGGCTTATGCTGCAATCCTCCTGGCTCTCTGCTTCCTCCTGATCTTCTACCTCGCCCCCCGTTACGGCCAGAGCAACATCCTCATCTACCTCGCCATCTGCTCCGTTATTGGCGCCTTCTCCGTGTCCTCCGTCAAGGGCTTGGGAATTGCCATCAAAGGCTTCTTTGCTGGCCAGCCTGTGCTGCAGAACCCACTGACCTGGATCCTGGTCATCACTCTGGTGGCATCCATCACCACACAGATCAACTACCTCAACAAGTCTCTGGACATTTTCAACACCTCTCTGGTGTTCCCCATCTACTACGTGCTGTTCACCACCATCGTCATCACCACTTCCATCATCCTCTTTAAGGAGTGGGTCACCATGACTGTGGTTGACATCATTGGGACAGTCTGTGGCTTCCTCACCATCATTTTGGGGGTGTTTTTACTCCATGCTTTCAAAGACATGGACGTCAGTTTTGGGAATTTACCCCAAGTCCTTCAGAACGAAGAGCCAGCGCCGGTCACCAGAGATGACAAGAACATCCTGATAGAGGTGGACAACTCCAGCATTGCCCCAGAGGACAAACCCAAAGTATTCATGCTCTACACTTAGGGGGTTACATGCAGGGGACTGGAGGTTGGGTGATGTCAATATTCCAGATGCCAGGGGAAAAATTCAAAAAGGAAAAGCAGAAAATAAAATAAACAGTGTCTTTTCCAAAGTCAAATCTTTCTCCAGGCTTTTGGACGGGATCTCTGTCATGGTGTGGCAACAAGGGGAGTGTTTAATCCTCTCTGGGCCCTAATACATGCAGCCACTGGAAACAAAAATCCTCTGGAAATATGATAGTGCTGTAACAAAGCTCCTCTCTGAGGCCCCTTCCCTCTCTTATTCTTGGCAGGGCTGATGTTTACCCTTCTCTCCTTCCCCCGGGTGGCCATTGATGTCTTTGTTTCCAGGCCTTGATGGATCATTGATTAGTGCTTTTTGTCTTCTTTTGTTTCTTTTCTAGGCACTTGCATGAACTCTAAAATCCACACCAGCGTCTGGAGAGGAGGTGAGAGACAAGGACTGACCAGTGCTGCTCAGACTCTGCTCATCCATGTTTAATCACCTGCTCTGCAAACAGGGGGACGAGAATATTGGTGAATATGGGCAAAACACGGTGAATTTTGCAAAAGCTGCTCACTCAGGCTCAGGGACACTCAAGCCATGAAGTGTTTTTGCAGAGAGATGTTTTTCAGCTTTTGGTTTTTTTGCGAGGTGCAGGAGTTTCCCTGAAGCAGTGTTACTTTTTTTTATGGGAGTTTTGTTTGTTTGAGTTTTTTGGGTTTTTTTTTTTTCCCAGAGCAGCTCTGGTGTCCAGGCCTTGGTGAAGTTGCTGGGACTGACCCAGGCCCCACCTGAGGAAGGGCAATCCCTGATCAGGCTGGGCAGCTCTGGCAGAGTAAACCCCATGTCAAGAGAAACTCTACCACGGTCTCCAACACTTCTTGTGACAATTTTTTTCAGTCTGAAAGACCAAGTGGCTGTAAATACAAAGTATTTTTTTCCTCAGGAAATATCTTGATCTTGGAAAACCCCCCAAATTCTTTGAGCCCCATGAGGTGTCCTGCTATCCTTTGAGATGCTCACCTGATTATACCTGGGTGTGAGCATCACTGAGTAAATATATTGTGGGGCTTTGGGAGAGAGGATGATCCAATCTCCTATTTTAATAACATTTCAGTGCTATATTTTTGGAATGTGGAAAGGGAAATAAAGGGTTTTTTTCAAAATAAAAAAAAAAAAAAGTTGCAGGTGGATCTGAAAGTTTTTCATTATTCATGTTACTAGCCCTAAAGGATAAAGAGGTTGAGGTACAGCTGAGAACAACAGAAAGAGCATCTGGAGCAGAGTAAAACTGCAGCGACCTCCTTTGGTGGCAGAAAATAATCCAAGTCACTCACTCCATCTTTGGTTTTGGCATCCTAATCAGTGGGATGCTTGGTGCATTTTATTTCAAAAAATGGCTGTAAATGGGACTCATCTTTCTTCACTCCAGAAGTGCATTTTATTAAAGCAATCCTGCCATCCCTGGAGAAATGCCATGTAGAAAATGAAGATTTGAACTGAGGTAATGAAATAATAGACAGTGAAAGAGTATTTGTTAATGACAACCAACAAATTTTATTAAAACTAGGCAAAAGGCACAATGAATTGCAGTCTTCAAGTATTTGCATAGATGCATAGAGAGCATTGTTGTAAACCATTAACATGAGGACATAGGAGAAAGTGAGATGTATTTGTTATAAGTTCTCCCAAGTAATATTATCTTTCAAAAAATCAGGTTTAACATCTTTTACTCCTCCTGCAGTTCCCCTGGTCTCAATCACTCAGTTTGCACACATCTGAAAATTTAATAGGACTTAAAACTACCTTTTGGAGATTTTTGTGATATTCCAGCAATAAAGTTTTCTATCAGAGTTTGGGCACGTCCAGTTGTTCTCTGAGCATTGTGTGTCTGGAGGCATTTTTTGAAACCTTTCACATGAAAAGCAGTGAAAATATTTTTTGTGATTTTTAGTGGCCATTTGCTGAAGATCAGGGGTTGGAACAGGAGTGCTGCTGCCCTCAGTGAGGGCTCAGCTGTGAGATCAAGTTCTTGTGGTTGAATCAACAATTACAGAGTTTGTACAGTCCTGCTGCACTGTGAGCAGCCAAACCTGCCATTACATACCAAGAAACAAGTTTGGGGGTTGTTTGAATACACATTTTTATATGTAATATCATATCCCCAATTATTGAAAAAGACAAAGATTAGAGAGCTGTTGTCTTTTACTTACTTGCCCTCTCTTATTTCAGAAGGAGGTTTTTTAGATTTGTTTGTTTTCCAGGCACACAGAAGGTAAGAAAAGGTCTAAAACTGGTAAGATGAGGAATAATCTGTGAGAATTTCAAGACACACCATGTGAACTGTTTTCTTGTGGAGAAAGAGGTAGTAAAGTTGTGAAAACTAATGTGACTTAAGTCATCCTATACATACACTACTACATATAACTACAAATTTAATGAGTTCTTGGGGTTTATCTGGGATTTCTTTAATGAGTAGCTCTTAGGGAATGAGAACCAGCAAACAAGACTCATTTTCTTTATGTCAATAATGCAGTTTCTCACATGTGGAGCAGCAGTCATGCTCTTTGAGGATTTGTCCATAATAAATCAGACACAAGAGGGCTGCTGTAACTGCAACTCCAGATTTCCCTGTGTTCTCCTAGGAAATAATTTCAAGGAAAAAAAATCTGGCACAACAGAAGGTCTTATTTTAAAATCCTGAGGGAAAAAAAATTCCAAAAAACACATACAAAAGCCAAACTATTATGAGAAGAAAAAAACTAAATTCATAAGGGAGGGTCCTCAGGGTCAGAACCATCAGCTGCTTAAAGTGCACACAGACAGCTCTCTCCATCCATGGCCTGGAGGAAAAGCCTGGAGTAAGAGAGCTGCCCTACAAAAGCACCATGTGTTGTGTTAATAGTTCAGCTGCTTCACCACCTGGGCATTTTCCAGGTAGGTTTCTCAGTGGTTTGGGGAGCAGACAGCCCATGCTGAGTTACAGCTCAGTGCAGAAACATCTCCTGCTGCCGGTACCGCACGCTGCACAGGGGCCTCAGCACTGCCTCCTGCTCTGCACCTGGGCCAGAGGGGCCCTGTCGTACCTTCAGTGTGTCCTAATGACCTGGATGGAGCTCACGGGCCCTGCTGGGGCTGCTTTGGGGATCTACAGCACCAGGGCACAACAAGCGAGTGGTTGCAGTGTTCCTGCTGAGGAGGGTTACATGGGGAAAATCATGAAATAAAAAATAATCCCCTCTGCTGAAGCTGACCAAAATCCACAGTGGCCCCACAAATTATAGCTCCACAGTTGGCTCCCTGTTGGGGCCCTACTTGCCACCCCCTGTAAACAGAGAATAAACTGAAGAATGTTACCACCAGCTGCTCTCCCCAGAGGCAGTGGGTTCTGTATAGCACCAATATGCTCCTGCAGCTGCCTGGGGGGGCTGAGGAAGCCAACAGGGCCCACATGAAAGCCCATCAAGGCCAGCACCTGCACTCACAGCTTGTTCTCCCTGGTAATACTTAAATAACTGATTAAAAACACGTGGAAACCCCCATCAAGCCCCATCCCTGCAGTGGATATTGCACAACAATATTTAAATACCATACAAACAAGCCATCCCTAATGGAAAAGGCAGAGAGGGCCCAGCTGAGCCTGGCGTGTACCTGGGGCACCCCTGCCATGCCTGGTGAGTCACAGGGGGAGCGGGGCTGGGGCAGGAGGAGGGGAGCTGAGGCACTGTCTGTGGCAGTGAAGGTGTGAGAGTGTTTTTGGTGATGAAGGCCAGGCACAGGCTGCCTCAGGAATGCCCACGGAGGCCTGGCTGTCCCACGTGCAGGCTGTTCACTGCTCCAGCTCTCCAGGCACCAGCACCCTGGGTGAGATGGAAAAAGGGGGAAAGAAGAGGAGTGAGCACTGATGGAAGAACAAGCACCATCCTTACCCTCTCCTGGAGCTGTGTGAATGATGGATTCACAACCCAGTGCATCACATGGGAATGCATCTCCCACAAGGAGGTTCCTGCAGTTTTCTCCATTTTCCACAGCTGGCCTCCAGTATATTGCAAGCTGGAGACACCTAACTGTGCTGTGTGGAGTGGAGATGTTTTGTGTTTGCAGAGCACTGAACTCAGTGCCTAGAAGTCCCTTATTAAGTCCTGTATTCAGAATGATTTTTGTGAAACACTTCCTGCAGGGAAAGCATCTCCTTAGCCACAGCTAGAGAGGCTGGAAAGAATTTTTGTTCTTTACTGGGATCTTCAAGTCTTGTGTGAATCCTCATGTTTTGCTGCTTTTCACTAACACTTCTGAGTCCCACAGCCCTTGACCCCATTGCTCTGCCCCACTCACACAAATGCTTTGCCTGAGGAAGTGTTCAGGGCTGTGGAGGAATGAATTCAGTTTTGCTCAACTCCCTAAATTCTTAATACGAAACAGGCAAAACCAGAGACCCCTGCAATAAATGTGACCAACCCACAGCCCCTCTGTCCACCCCCCTGGGCTGTGCACTGAGGTGTTCTGCTGATATTTCCTTCAGTGTTTTTATTCCCCAGGGGTGAATTCCAGGGTTTCCCACCAGCCCTCCCAGTGCCTACCTGTGCCACAGGCTGGAGGTGCCCAGGGGCTCTGCTGTGCCCAGGGGGCAGTGGCACAGCAGGGCTGCTCCCCTGCCAGCCTCTGGACCGGGATGGGATGGGGTTTGCTGGCAGAGCTCTCTGGGGTGGCCGCGGCCTTGAAATATCCTGCAGAAGAAATAAATAGTTTTGAATTTAAGCCTTTAAGTTTTGGAAGTAATAAGTAACTGGTGTTCCAGAGCCTTTTTAATTAACCACATTAACTAATGCACTTCATGGCTGAAAGCAAGTTCCACACACAGACACTCAGTGTTTGTTTGCCCATACAATGCCTGTAAACACTATATATGTGTATATTCTTGTACCCATACAAACACACACACCCACAAGCAGTTATTATTTGTTTGTGCACACAGCTGTCCCTAATAGGATGCTCAGAGCATTATATTTTCCATTCATCTAATGAATTTCAGTGGAAAGCATGTCCCAGGGGGAGAAGTCACCCCCACAAGAGCCAATTGCCTGTTGTTGCTCAGGGTCTGTGCTAAGCTGCTGCCTTACAGGTGTTGATTTAACAAACACAGCTGCACTCATGACTTGGAGGGCACCCAAAACCCCTGCAGTCTCCTCAGACTATGCATAAATGCAATGCTTGATGGCTTGGGGATCTATTGCTCTCCAAGGATCTTGCCCTGTGACTCCAGAAAGGACAAGGAAGACTAAATTCCACTGACTGCCAGGTCTGAAGAGCTCCTATAGAAATAGCAAGAGAGCAAATCTGGCAGATGCTGCAAACATCCAGGAAGGCCAATGCAACTAGCAAAAAGTGACATTAATTATTTCCCCTTTGTCTTCCCCAACTCGTGGCTCTACACTAACCCAGAAACACCAAGGTTTCTTGTGGAAATCCTATGAAAAGTGTTCCATCCCATAAGGCTGATTGAGATAAAGCGACTGGATGTGTTGGGGAGGGAACACAAAGGAGATCAGGGGGAACTTGTCAACAAGCAGCTGGGAAGGATACCTATTCCTTACTTGACAGCACTCAGCTTCCTGCTTTTGTTTTAGTTTTCTTTCCTGCTGAAGTGCCGGCTGTTCACAGGAACAATGCACTAGAAACAAACCCCATTCCCTAAGATTTTTCTCCATAGGGTTTGTTTTCTTCTATGTCCTTCAGAAAGAGGCTGCCTGGGAACCAGCCTCTTGCTACTTTTGCTTCTTTGAGGGCCCCAATATAATAATATTATTTTGCAAAATGGGTGAAGTCAGTCTGAGTGATTTACCATCTTTCCAATAAGAATGTGGGGTCCATAGTAAGTTTAGAACAGAGCTGCCAGCAAAAGAAATAAATATTCCCTTTTAACCTTCAAAATGACCTCGTGGACAGGAAGCTCACATAAGATGGGGTCAGTTTGGGTCAAGACTAACAGCTCCCCCAGGGTGAGAGGCCTCACCAGAACAAGCCTGCCATCAAACAGCACCTACAGGGCAGCAGCACGAGTCCATACCTGAGAGGTTGGGGGTTTGGGAGCAGGAGGAGCTGGCCTGCTCGGGGGTGTCCTGCGAGGAATGTCCTTGGGAAGCTCTGGTCTCATGGGCTGCCCTCCACTGCAGCTCGGGCTGCCAGGGAAGGGGGGTGGCTGCTGCCTGCTCATCTGGAGCCCCAGAGCTTGCTGAGAAGGAGGCTTGGGTGGGATTTCAGGGAAGCCAATCACCTGTGCAGAAAAACCACAAATCCTCAATGTATTTCCACTTCAAACCACCCTTTGTACTTGCTGCGACGCTTCTGAGGATCTACGTGAGGTCTGTGAGCCACAGAGTAGAAAATACTGCCTGCAACACCAGAATGTGTCTATGAAACACCAGTATGTGTGTGTGTGTGCAACACCAGTATGTGTGTGTTTGTGTGTGTGTGTGTAACACCAGGATGTGTTGTGTATGTAAAACCAGTATTTGTGTGTGTGTGTGTGTGTCTGGTAGGTGTTGGTTAGATGGACTGGGATAACTTGGGATCATGAGGCAGAAATGGAAATCAAGAGAACAGAGTAACCCAGGCATCAGTGTGACACTTGCAAATAAACCCAGGGTTTGCCATTTCTCCAGTTCTGAGATGGGGGATGTGACAACAGAGGATCCAGCAGGAGAGAAAGCAGCCACACAAGCCTGGTCAAATCCCAGCTCCTGCCTTTGAGGAAATCACCAGGAGCAGGTGCTGCACAGCTACCACTGACTTTCAGCCAGGGATGATGTCTGTCTCCTTTTCCCATCCTTTGATAAAACCACTCCCTAATTCCAGGGAAACC